AAATATACATAGTTTAAATAAAGCCCCTTTACTGAAAGGTTCTTAAGGGAATAATGTTCAGAGTAATTTTTTTGTAGTAGTAGAATTTATCTTTTCTTATATCCTATCTCTGGTATGGGAAGCACACACTTGAACATAATCTCCTAGTCCTAACCCCATGCACTCCTACAAACATGAGTTTTTAAAACAAGTTGATATTATAAATATTTTACTTTGTGTTCAAATAAAAAGTGATCAAAAGTAATACATGCCAAAACAATAATGTCTGCTAGTGACTTGTATGCACACGGACTAGTGAATTCATATTATATGGGATATTTAATTTATAAGATTTGTTATGACAGGATCAATAAAGAATTATTATGGGACAGCTGACTAGACATGAAAATAATCTAATTACATTAAATCAGATATTATCATAGTAGCCACTGAAACAAAATTATATACATATGTACACGTGTGTGTGCACGTGTCATGTATGTGTGTGTGTCTACACACATACATATAATTTATGTATTAATGCAAGATACTTACTACTATTAATAATGTAGCTTGGAATCATTTTACCTTTTAATATCGCTGCTGAAATTCCAATGGTAGCACAAAATAGGGGGGAGAAAGCAAAGGCATTAAAGAGTTACATGGAATAATAATTTGCCTGCGTTTGATGTGCCTAAATGCATATATGTAGGAAAGGAGATCTGAGTTTAGAAAAAGGGCTCAGAAAAAACATCATGTACATAGGAGGATTAAAGAAGACTAGAAATCCTTCCTGTTCTGATTCCATCTATAACATCCTTACATACATACATCCTACTCACTCCACTGCTTTTAAATATGTGACATGGGAAAGAACCTCAAGTAAGAAAAAAGCAATACAAGACGACAAGACAAAACACTGATTTGGCTAGCACTAGATAATTGCTAAACTTTTTTTGTTTTTTACTGTTCTACTTGGAAATTATACTGAATTGAGTCAGTTTCCTACATATCGGTCAAACAAACGTCCCAAGGGATTCAACAACCCTAAACAAATTATACAACTTTATCCATTTAAGAAGGATGGGAGGAGTATAGCTCTATAAGTGACTCCAGTGGATAAGAAAGATTGTTACCATCGTGAGATCACCGTCTATATCTGATGGTTCACTTTCCCTCTTTTCTTCCCTATTCCTAGGTATGAAACTATAAAAGAGTACTAGTAAGACCTTGCATTTATACAGTAATTGGGGTTTCAAAGAGCTTTCAAATTACTAACAAACGTTTTGGCCTGGAGAGAACTATATATACTCTCTTGAAACAGTAAGGCATGCTGCCAAATTCTTCAGACATCAGCCATTTGCAACTTTTGTAACTTATAAACAGATCTCAGTGGAGAGGAGCTGCTAGGTTTCTATTGCCTTCACGACAGTGATCACTGGATTACAGGTGGCCTGGTGAAACCCAATTACTATTATGTTGTACACACACCATTCTATACCATCTCATTTTACTGCTTATGGAAGAAATGGAAGATGCAGATTCGGTGAAATTGAATGGTGAACACTTGAGGATGTTAAAAATACTCTCTTGATATACTCTCTTGCATTTTTTCACTGGGCAGAATTATAGCAAAAATTATAAATTGCACATTAAAATATGATTCTAAAAAATCCTAACTCGGCACAACCAAATAAATGTTTCACTGCTCTTATTTCTAAACGAAAAATCTATTTTGAAGCCATCTTCTAAAAATTTTACAGACTTTACCAGTGAACGAAACATCAATTTTTTTGTATAACTCACTTTTGTTATCAAACTAGTAAAGTTAATGCTAACCTGCATAAAAAAATAGATGCTTTTACCCTTACCTCGATCTTTCGCTTTGTCAGAAAGGAGCACTTCTACCTCCTCATATTCCCGGATAGCGTCCAGTATGATGCTTCCTTCTTTGCTGAATAAGAAAAGCATGGGGATCTTGATGTCATCTGTGTCCTTCCCATCACCTGCCATCTGGAACAGAGGGGCAGTATCACTGCTGCTCCCCTCATTGTCATCTAGCCGGAAAATGAACAGAGTGAACATAAAAACAGTTGTCTGTTAAGAGACAGACCTACCCATCTTCACTGTTTTTTACCTGTTGGCAGCATTAATTTTCTGCATAAGGAGACATAAAAAGAAACATACTTTTTGGGCCCACTTTTTGGGTTCTACTCCCAGAAATGTCCCGAGGAAATAATTAGAAAGAAGCAAAATGATCTATGCCCAAAGGGTGATATGGGGTGCTATTTATAATTGTGAACAACTGTAAACTATTATAATTACAATGAACTACTTGATGAAACACACAGAAAAAAAACAAAATATTGTCACATGAAAAAAGTAGAACAGAAAATTCTATGATTATGACTAAAAATTTCATATGCTTATGACAAAGCCTAGAAATGGAAAAATTCAAAGACTTGGATGACAAAGAACTCTGAATGAAATTTCATTGTTTAAGATTTCCTCTAATGGCATTATATTCTCTTACGAAACTACAAATTGCTGGTTCCATTTTATATACTATTCACAAAGAATACTTACGACTGTAGTGGTTTTTCCTCTGTAAGTTGAATTAAGCCCTATTGCTATCTTATACTGGTAATAACAGTAGCAGGACTGCTAACTACTGTTTTACTGGCGACACCAGTCACGTCTACCCCTGGTCTCACATGTCAGTCTCCTGCCTGTCCATTCTCAGAGAGCTCGCTCTGGCAGGCTGTGCCTAAGTGCAGGTAAGTGAAGAATACCACGTAGGACTCAGCCCCTTAGCATAACTGATTAGACAAAGGAAGGCTACCTGACCCCCAGTCTCTTGGGGGGCCTGGAGGTTGCACACGGAAAGACTCTTTCAGGTAGCCGTGGGAATGGCCGTTTTGGAGCTGATGAGCAAAGAGGGGGCAGGTTGGTGAGAAGCTGGAGAATGAAGCGTGACTGCAGAGACAAGCAAGAGCTCTGTTATCTGTATCTCCAGGAGGTCCGAAGATAGAGGCAGAGGTGTGAGAAACGCTAGCTATCATGGTTCCTTACAATTCTTTGTTCCCACTTCTACTTCCTTAGAATGCTCAACTGTATGTCTTACTCTTGGGTTCAGTGAAAATAATTCCATTGCCATATAGTACACAAACCTGCCTTAAACCAGCTTAAATAAATTGTCTTCTGTAGCCAAATGATTTCTAAGGTAATTTGTCTTCTAGTGCTTGCAATAAGAAACAATTAAGTCCCAATTTGCTCATTTATATACAATTAAAACCAAACAAAATGCCTCATCAGAAATGAAATAACTTAGGGGGGAGAAGTCACAACACAAGAAAGCTTCCCTTTAAAAAATAAATTTTCAGAGAATAAGGATCATTGCCTCTTAATTTATTTACCTACAAAATTCAGTATAGGATTCTGCAACAAACAGAAAACATTTGACTTGACAAATTGCAGAATATAGAATACTGAGAGCATTAGACTTTATCAAAAATTAGGGAAACTCTAAAATATTCCACATATGTTCCAGACTTTATTTTTCATATTTTATATTTTTAAAGTCTCAGTAAAACATGTTCAAAATGATAGTGATATTAAGTTATTAAATTCTTTAATAAAAATAATCTCAGGGTAGAAAATAGCCAAGGATAAAGAGATGACTTAAGTCAGCCATCAGCATCCTTTCCTGTAATTGGCCAGACAGTGACTATTTTAGGCTTTCCAGCTCTCTGCTGAAATCTTTCAACTACACCATCGTGGCTGGAAAGCAGGCCAGATAACACATAAGCACAGTGCATGGCTGTGTTCCAACAACCTTTACAAGAGCAGGCAGTGGGCTGGACGTGGCCTGTAGGCTGCAGTGTGCAAACCACTGATTGAAGTTATTAAGCAGGTATTTTCCTGATACTTACTTAACTAATGAAATGTATGCATTCATTAAATCCACATTGGTGTGCCCATATGGAGAAAACAAAAAAATAATTTTTCACTGAAGTAAATCATAATATTTTAACTTTTATTTACCCTGAATTCAATAAAGGAAATCTATCCTAATTAGAAAGAAAAAATTCAGAATGGAATTATTTACCCGTAATGTCTTAACTTTTATTTACCCTGAATTCAACAAAGGAAATCAATTCTAATTAGAAAGAAAAAACTCAGAATGGATTTCCCCTGTGCGAGAAGCTATGCAGAAGAACTAACTTCACAACTAGGATGTGACCTCAGCATTTCCAGTTCTTTCTGAATGTAAACGCCTATTTACTTAAAGCATAGAAAAACTTATTATTTTCCTTGATAGTTATGGCCTGCTTGTCATGATATAAATGATTTTCTATGAAAAACACAAAAGCAAAATACACAGGTTGAAATGCCTGGGGGATTGATGTGAAGTCCATAATTTCACGGGGAAAAGACCCAAGGAGAAAAAATTTGTTAGCAACTAGTACTTAATACCTATGTCAGCTATTATGCTAAGAAATTGCATATATATTATCTTCAAACTTTATAACCACCTAAAAAATATTTATTAACACTTTCACCAAAACTAAAAAAATATTCTAATGAATAAGCAGATAAAGCAAGTGAAGCTGAGCCAAGGATACGCCACGATTTTGTGGCAGCACCAGGAGCCCTCCTGTGTCTGAAAAGGCTGCCTCTCTGTGGAGGAATGAATATTTTCAGTGGCTCCCACTGGAGGTGGCAGGAGGTAATTCATGCCCTGGGCGGGGGGTGAATGGGGTGGCTTTAGATCTAGATCTTACGGGCGCATTTTCTCATCACCCCTACCCCACCATCCTACCTGACCCAAGTACTTTTACTGGCATGAATATACAGAAACCCAAATCTAGCCTTTCAAAAGAGATAGGAGATACATAGAAATTAAGAGTCACTGGATTACCTGTCCATTATGCCATCTAGTAAAGAAAAAATAATACCACAAACTCTGCTACAATTTTGGAAAATAAAGGGAAACAATCCTAAAAATGGTCTCCTCTTAGTCAACAGGATGAGGCAGAGGGTGACTTACCGATGACAATGCCACCGATGGCTCCAGCATTCTGGATGTTACGGGCCTTTTCTGCAAACATGCACTGTCCTCTTTGGATCAAAGCAATTTTTCCCATCACCGCCTCGGGGTTGGTAAGCTCTGAACAACCATTGTACGGTTTACTGCTTGCAACAAATCCTCTGGTCTGTCAGAAATAAATGTAACGTAAATATTTTTTTATCTTCTCAAATCACTATCTAGTCATTAGATAAAATTCAGTTTCCAGAGCTTTAAGTAGACCTCATATCTTTGCTAATGGTAACATGTCCAATATATATTTAGCATAAACTTTTGTCTGGAATGTTTCGCGTATCATAGTACACAACCAATATTTCTATTGCACTTTGCAGTTTACGAAGCATTTTTATGTAAATGACTAAACCTGATCTTTATAAGGACCCTGAATGAAACAACACAGATAATATTTCCCTTTTACAGGGGGGGAAACTGAGGCTCAGGTTACATAATTTGCTCCAAGACTCAATGCTAGTAAGAAGTGAAGTTGGAACGGCAGATTCACTACATACTCACACCCACACTTACAACAGCTGGGAACCACTGGTAACCAGAAACATTTTTGAAAGAGTGGAAAAAATAGGTTTAGTCTACATGAATCTGCAAGTAGTTCTTCTTCCTAGAAAAATTAAATCCATCAGAGAATTGATTTGAAAGCAGTTAAAGATTTTTTAAAATAGTCCGCTAGAATGTACACTTCACGAGGGCATGATCATCGCCGGTTTTATAAACTTGATAGACAGTAAACACCTATTATAAAAGTGCCTAGAATATAGCAGGGACTCAATGAAGAGTTGCTGAATGGAGGAATCAACCTATAAACCTACACAGCTTTATAACACACACTAGAGCAAGTCTAAATTACGGGGAACAGAATTCAAAGAGCACTGCCTTCAGATTATCAGGATACTTGGGTTCAGATCCCAGTTCTGCAACCAATTAGTTAGATGAACTTGTGAACTGTTCAGCTATGTAGCTCTTTGTTTCCTGTCTTAAAACGAAGACAATGAATGAACTTAGTGGCCTTCCGAGCTTGCTCAGTGGAACCTGAGTCTGATACTCTCCACCGCCACCTGAGCACCTCTGCTTTCAGTTGCTCTCTCCATTAAGCCTGTCTTGAGTTATTCTTGTTCAAAGAAAGGTTCTAGTAGTTCTTAAAAATTCTGAAAACCATTTTTAGATAAATTAAAGGTACTAAATTAGAGAACAAACCAAGAATTGGGCAGTACCTGAACAATATTTTAAGTAAAATTCTGTAAGCATATTTTATATATATATATATATATATATATATATATATATATATATATAATGACTCAACATTTTCAAGATATGCTTGTAACTTCATTTTATTCTGGGACACTGAATATTTATGTTTTTTAAATAAATTAAAACGACTAAATTAGAAGAGACTATGAACTTAGACAATAATTAAACCGTCTTTTTAATTCATTTTCAACAAACATATTATAAGTGTACGCACCTCTTTATGTTTAGACAGATCTAGCCCAAACTGAGCTGGCCCAGCCGTCAACACCACCCTGCCAAAAAACGGGTGCGAAACAATCTGTACAGCGCGTGGAGGCAGCTGCTGTTCTTTCTGTTGCTGACTCGACAATTCAATCATCTCCTGCATGAACCTCAGCCCATCTTCAGCGTCAATTGAACTAGCAGCCTAGGAAAGAAACAGATCATTTTATCCTTTCTCTCTAGAAACGTTCAACTTTTTCATTTCTTAAATACTACTGCACTCTAGTCTTTTACTCTAAATTTTCTCCATTCGGTTTTGGTCCCTACCAAATATTTATGGACTGATTTGTCCTAAAAGATATTACTTTTGGAAATATTTTCTGAAAATTACAATTCTGATCAATATCGCTTTCACTGTTCTATAAACCACGCTTGATACAAATTAATAATTGGACTGCCACCCAATGATCAAATGCCCACTTTGCTTGTTTTCTTCACTGTCTCCCCTTTTAAGAAATAAACCTCACACCTGATCCATACTTCCCTTCTTTGAAATTATGAACCAACAACCAGATTAAGTTCAAAACATATTTATCAGGCACCTATTACATCCCAGCACTTGATGAGGCACTGAGGGGACAGTCTTCTACTTTAAGAAGTTTGTATGTGGAGGAGAGAAGCATGTAAAACTAGCTGTGGTAAGATTTTTCGAGTGGAACAGTGGACAGGGGAATGACCGATTCTGCCAGTGTGGGTCTGGGAGATGCTTAGGAATGCCATTTGAATTGAGTCTTCACGGAGGAAAAGCTGACGAGTGCCTGACTATAGTAGAAAAAAGATGGATTCCTGACACTTTACAGGAAAAGCCAATGGGACTTGAAAGGGGTTAGAGGATAGAGGAGGAAAGAAAGGAGTTAGGAGACAGAGATACTCAAGCCTATCCTAAGATTTCTAGTTTCGGTGACTTAGAAAATAATAGGTTTACTGAGAGGGAGAAGAGAGAGGAGGAAGATGCACAGAGGTCGGGGCAGGAAGAGACAATCCAGGTTTGGACAGGCTGCGACTGAGACAGAAATGTGTGACAGATAGATCAAAGTTGGTTTAAGAGTCAAGTTAGGCATCAGGGTTACACATGCATCTCTAAGACATCAGGCGCACCAACATGACCGCTGCTTGGAGAAGCGGATGAGACTGCTGCTGAAGGGGACAGCGAGACAAGAGTGAGACCAGATTCTTTGGCAGTGCCTACACTGAGTGTTTGTGCCCCCAAAAAAGAGAACTACGAAGGCATTTCAAGGCAATGAACAGAGGTGGAAAGATACATGCTGCTGGAATGTCCTAGAAGCCAAACAAGGCGTCTGTTTTTAAAACGGGTCAGTCAACAGTTACAGTAAAGTTCGATCATATAAGGATTAAGAGGCCACTGGGTGGCAATTATGTCATTGGGGGCCTAAGCGAAAGCAATGTCATTGCAGATGTCACTCCCACCACTGAGGAGTGAGGGCGAGTGAAATGTATGGAAGCAGGCCAAACACTTTAAGTGAGGGCGGATATGGTGAGGATAGAGATGAGACAGAAATCTGAGGGGAAGGGGAGGTTGTGTGAAGGCTCAATTTGAGATTTTGGAATACCTGATTATGGTTCTAGATTGAAATTATTTAGCAAACAATATAATTTTCTCAGACTTAGCGTATTAATAAGGTGAATAATTTGAAGACCTCATGTTATGAAAACTTTTAAAATAAAAATCAATAAAAATTTCCCCAAGAGGCATGTTATCTTTCCCTAGGCATAGACGAATAAGTGCAAATTTTTATTTCTATAGTGAATAAAATACTTAGATTCTGTAGCTCTTCGGAAACGAAAATAATGTAAAATACAGAGATAGAAATATTAAAACTAATCATCAGCTTTTAAGATTATGCTCTAAATAAAAATAGTAGAAAGACAAGGGACTGAGAAACAAAAAAATTGAAAGATCTGAGTCCTACATTTGACTTTACTACCTTAAGCAAATCACCCACCTAGCTTATTTGTGGTTTCATTGATTTATACTATGAAGAGGTTGAATTAGATGGCTTTACAAGATATTTCCAAGTCCTAAATTTCTGATTCCCTAACTTTAAACCACACAAAGTTCCTTAAAATCCAAATGCCAGTGTCTTACTAAAGCTAACGAGACCAAAAAGGGCCGAGGCGGTATCTTAGGAGTATAGCAATGTCTTACTTGGATTGCATGTTGAACCAACTGGACTCTTCCATCTTTGAGGTGAATCAAACTCACCCCCATCTTCTTCAGGATTTCTAAATGCTCTGGGTTTGTGGCCATGAAATCTCTGGCTCTCAGGGGGGGTTTAGTTCCACTCCTGAAACTCTCCTCTCTGCTAAAAGTAATTATAGGCAAGGCTTAAAAAACTACAAATCTGAACCGGGGAAAACACATGGCAAATAAAAATCATGCTAGATATTTGCAAAATTGCTAGTTTTAGACTATTGAAAATGGAATAACTGGAAATGGACTACATAAAACAGGTTATTAATAAGTGGTATAGCTTTCAAATATAATCTTTTACATTTATAAAAGCATGTATATTATATATAAGGTAGCATTACTCAACAGAATTATAACCAATATTTTGAAAGTATAGAATAGGTTGGTTGGCTTTGGGATCTGTTACTACTGCTTTCTTTCTCAAAACACAGGTTTTTCTCTCAGGATTTTAAAAGCAAAACAGTAGTTATATCAGTGAATGGTAACACTGACTTAAAATTTTTATTTCCTAGTAATGGCCTTTCTAATATAACTATTTGGAAAAAAATGAACTCATTAATGCAAAAATTTTATTTAACAATGAATAAGAACCTTGTCAAAAAATAAAATCAAACAAAAGAGAAACTATGTTTGCACTACACAAAAACTATAGGTGAAAGACAAAACATTTCCTACATATGCGAGACATGTGGAAGCATCTGATGAAACTATTCTGTATAAAAATCAGCTAAACAAGTTGAAAACTATTATATGCTTTTCACTCACTATTATTACTTAGCTCATTAAATAAAAGATAAATTTCAGAAAATTTCCATAATGAAAAAGATGCTATTGCAGAATAAACTTTGCTATCTAACTTTACTAACTAATAATTTTCATTTCAATCAGCAATAGCTACATACATCAATGTTTTTGGTCTAAGTGAATGTCATCTTGGCTGTTACGTTCCTTACAGTCTCTGTCATTTACTAACTTTGATATTAACAAATATAAAATAAGACATCTTACACTCTGATGATGCCTCTAGGACAGCTCTTATCCACCACATTTTTCAAGGGTTCACGAATGCTCTGAGCATACAGTGGGTCATTAGGGAAGAGAATCTGGGTATTTGGACAAGTCCAATCAAAATTACTGTCATCCAGTTCTGTATATTCTGAAGTCTGCAATATAAAAGAATGTTATGTGAGTAAAAGTAATTATTTTACTTAACATTACAGTTTGTTCAAAGGAAACATTAAA